ATATATAAAATACTATGAGTATAGACCAGCTAACTCGATTGCTCAGAGTCTGAGGAAGGAAGGAAGGAAGGAAGGAGGGAGGAGCAGAGTGTAGGAGCAGGCTGGCCGCTGGCAGGGATCCCACAGAAGTGAGCTACAAGGGCACCACTGAGAGCTAACCCTGCCTAGCTTGCAGTTTTCCTTTTTTAGAACCTCTCGTGTCACTCCACATAACTGGCAGGCTTTCTCCTTTGGATCTATTCTCAGGCACGAAGGAATGAGACTCTTTACACGTCACTTCTCTTCCGTCAGAGACGAGCTGATGCTACATGTGATGCACGTCACCTCTACCCGATGACAAACACACCAACGGATCTGGCCCCAGCTGTGCTTTTCCCTTTGATGCAGGCAAGGAGGGATTATGAAGTGGCATTTCATTATGATCGACTGGCTAGATGGTAGTCACTGCATATTTTAGAGTAAGCCTGAAGGGAGTTGAGATAACAATGTCACCCAAAGTCAAGGAAGCCATTGCACAAACACGAACGGTCCCCGGTCTCCTTTGCAGTTATCAATCTGCCACTGTCTTGCTTTGGGCCGCGCCATCTCACTTTTTGCTGCTAGTCTAATAATTTTTAGAACCTAAAATATAATCTTTTGGGTTAATTTCCAGGGCTATTGTCTTTGAAGAAGGATTGATTACCTGGCTGGAAATAGAGAGATCTTTTCAGTCTAGACTTCGTTTCTGACTCACCGGGATAATCTGGGCAGATCATTTCATCTCCCTCCTTTCCTCCCATCGTCACTGTTTGGAAGCCTTCTCAACAAATCATTGCTTCCTGATTCCCAGTGTCCCCAAGCCTTAACAGATGATGTCACTCAACAATCCTTGATATGGGATCAAAATATTAATCTCTTTGGGCAGTTCCTTATCTTCTGCTTCTGCTTTATAACTTCAACTTTGCCCTTGCCTCTATCTTCTCAATTCCACTGCTGTCTACATTTCAGCTGTTCTCTCCAATGCTGCTAAATCGCTATCCATTATGGTGCATAATCTTTAGTGGGACCCATTCCTAGCTCATCTTTTGAAATGCAGTTCTGTAATTATATTTCAACTTAGTTCTCTCTTTTTCTAACTATGACTTTTAGAGTCTGTTAATGTTCTAATATGAAGTCATTCATTCTAATTTAATAATATGAAAAACATAGCTTATGTATACACTTTCATAAAATTATCATTAGAAGGAAAGCCCTAGTGATAAAGACATACAATGTGATTGGTATAATTTAGTAAGAGCTACCATTAAGGCTATCTTCTATGTAGGACATATATTATAATCTTTCATTCCTACAATAATTCCAGTGTAGCTCACCATTTTACAGGTGAGAAAACTTATGATTAGAGAGGTCCCCGAGCCAGGGTTTTGTTTTTCACTCTTTTGAAGATACCTATTATTTTGTGATCCTGCATCGCTTCTGGAAACTGTGTCTCCCTTCTCCATCCATATGGCTGTCCTGAGAACAGTTGTGTTATGACAGGATCCTATCCCCTGGCCTCTGAGCCTTTTCCCACAAAGTTCTGTGGACTGGGGATTATGAGAACATTGGTTCAGGAGGTTTTTATTTGTCACATGGTAACACGTGAAGCTCAGGAATTGTTGATGGCCGGTTTACCACCAGAGACTGCAGATGTGGGGGGAAGGCAGCCTGAGACAGAGAGACTGGGAAGTGGCGTTCTTGCCCCTGCCTCCTCTCCTCTTTTTCCACCGTGCATTCTGCAAGACCTCCCTGTATCCGGATAATAATTCCCCTTTTCTCCTAAGTTCAGATTTGGTGCCAGTCACTTGCAACCCCCGAAACTCCTAATCTCTACTGACTGCTGGTTGTCTCAACTACAACAAAAGAAGATAATGGATTTGGGTTGAAAATCACTGACACATGAGGGTTTCATTCAAAGGCTGGTTTATACTAGTTCCCCAAGTGTATTTGCTTAGTTTCTTCCCTCCTGATCTCAAACACATCTGAAAAATAAATCTTATCTATTAAAAATGGTTGCATTAAAAAAAAGCCAAATTCATTCAAACAGCAAGTCATCTTGAAAGCAACTGAAAATTAGTTTGTTGCTGTTGTTGTTGACTAACTACAATGAGTTTTATTCAGTCATCTTTATTCCTTAAAGAACTCAATCATACGTCCCATTTCCCAGCATTTCAGCATTATCAGTCAGGAAAGGGAGAAGGAAGTTCTTCCAAAGCATGGATTGGTGATGTTCTCTGTTGACGTGATTAACGAAAGAAAAAGTTTACTATTACAGGTAGGGAATCCTTAAAGGAGTCTTGGGACCCACCCTAGAATAGAAAGAGACTTGGGATTATGTAGTCCCTTTGCTGCTTCTGACACCTCAGTGCATAAGCCACGGCAGACTCCGTAAGTTTACACGTGGCTGTCACAATCACATCCTAGGCCATGTAGGTGACTACAGAGTCCCCTCCGAGTGCTACTTAGAAGGTATCAGTGTGCACCTCTTCAGTCTCTGCACAATGCAACCCCTCTCCCACGTTTATGGATTGAATGTGGGTCTATACTTTGTGGCCACCTTGACCTTTAGCACTAACACTGGTAACAGTTTGCTCTGGGGCTTTGGTAAAGAAAAAATGTCTTGATCCTACCTAACAAAAAGAATGTCTTAACCCTGCCTAACAATAGTTTGAAACCTAAAAAACACCGATTAGGGATTGTATTAACATCAATTTTGGAGAGGTTGTCTTGAAAAATATGGAGAGAAACTAAAATGTGTACAGGGAATGGAGGTGAACGTACAGACAATTTCCAGCCAGCACGCTTGGCGACTCTGAGTTTACGAAGAATGTATTTCAAAATAAGCAGTCAATGTGGTTGAACAAATAGCTTTCAAATATTAAGCTAGCTGTTTGGATGACTAAATCAGTCTATGAAAAAAAATTATCTTCAATCTTCAGACAGAGACCTCCTTATTGTCCAGAAACTTTCTTCTGTCTAGTCCAGATCTTCCATTGCTTGTGCCTGTTTTCAATACTTGTGCTCATAGAGAATGGCTCCCCGGCTTTTCTGTCCTCCAGTTCCATCTTCTTAGCTTTCCCCACAGGTTCTAGTTTTCATCCTTTAGTTACTCTTAATTAAAAACAAAAACAACACAGTTTCCCCTGGCCTAGTAGATATTTGCCAAGCTGGTGAAAATTACACCTTAATTTCCCCACATAGGATTTGGTGGTAATGAAGTTCATCCGTAGGCTATAATTTGTGGATTGTTATGTTAAAGAGGCTGTCACCCAACTGTGGTTATGTTTGCCCTCATCCATCTCAGCTCTTCCTGCATGCAGTTCTTGGGGAGGGAGCAGCATGAGTGCATGTTGGGAACATCATTGTCATCCATGCGTTTGTGTGTGTGTGTGTGTGTGTGTGTGTGTGTGTGTGAAGGGTCAAGTTGGAGAAGAATGTCTCCGTGGTGATGCTAATAAAGCCAGACCCCCAAAGTGGGATAAACGGGGGTCTCCACGCTGAGTGCTGGGCTGAATCTTGGAAGCAGGCCAAGGCTCTGGCTGGGTTAGTTGGGAAGGAGCATGGGCCAGTGGCACACGGAATGAGTATGCCTGAAGCTCACTCCAGGCACCAACAGGGTGGGAGACAGACCTGAAGATGGTCTGGTGTATGTGAGGCCAAGTAAGTTGGTGTTAGAAAATTTATTTTTCTCCTCTTTTATTCCTCTCAGGTTTCTTTATACCCTTTCTAAAATTTAGACACCTGAATAGTCCTGGGATGGGGAGAGGGACATGGTAGGCAGTGTTCATGACCTTTGTGTGCCTTCCCGTCATGTTTGCTGTGGTCCGAGGACTTGACAAAGTCGGACTATGGTAGGAAGGCCCCCTTGTTAAACAACTAAGAGGCAGCCCCTTCAGAGCTCAGAACTGTCTGAAATATGAAAACGTCAAGTTCTGACACCACTAGCAAATTACTGCTTAATTCTGAGTATTTATAAACCAAAAATATAACCATTTCCTTCAGTCAAAGAGGAGACCTGTATTACGGTCTCATTATCTGTAATAATTTATTAAAATTATTAAACAAAGAAAGTTGTAGGTAGAACCATGTTTTCCGTCAGGCAGAGGTAAAACAACATGAAGTTTTCAGGATTTGTAGTTGCTTTGCTTAGCACATGGATTGGGAAGGGGAGGGAAAGCTGCGTGTGGAGTATCCCCATATTTCCCACAATTTTGGACATAAAGGAGAAGCAATTCTCTTCTCATCTAATCAGCAAAGATAAGCTTATACTTAGCTTATTTCTGGATCTCTAAATCATTTGTTTAGTCTTGTAAAATTGTCGACAAGCAGTTATAACAACGCTTCTCAGCAGTTCTTTCTACCGGAGTGTTAAAGTAACCCAGGTATTTGAAGGCATGAAAGGGAATGACTTCATTTCTCAGTGGTTCTGATGGACGCTAAGGTCATAGCCGCAGTTGCTGGCCTGGGAGTGTGTCCATCATGTACATATTCAGGCTAAGTGACAGAGCTCAGCTAAAATCTAGAAGTCCACAGATGCCAGAGTTAGCTTTCCATTAAGGAAATGCTTACAAGAAACTAGACCAGGATAAAGCAAAGACTAAGGGACAGAAACCAAGCTTGAGTCGCTTTATTGCAATATTCTGCAGAATCAGCTTCTGCTTAGCTTCTCTTTGGAGCTGAAAACACCTCAAGTTTCTTCCTGACATCCATGAGCAATTGTGTGAATACTGTATTCTCTGACAATTTCCAGTATGATTCCATCCAAGAGTATGTGACAAGACTGCATGACAAGGTTATATGTGTTTGGGTATTTTACGCATGTGTGTAACTTTGTCACTTTGCTTTGTAAAACCAAAAATTCACTGAATATCCACAGGAGAAGGTAATTCAGCATTTGGCAGGTCAAGAAAATGCCCTCCCTTTTTCTTTATCCTTGCCTCCTTCTTTCTCTGACACTTGAGTTCACTGAGTTGTAAGTGCCTGAAATCATTCTTGGTGAATAATGCTGGGCCACTCTGGAAATTTGTGGCTGAGAGCTGGACCCTCGTCATCGCCACGCACTTTGTCACTGAGACAGGGTAACCCATGGTTACTGAGCTCAGATCAGTTAAGGGGCAGAGAGCCTCCCCTCCTCACCGCTCTATAAAAGAGACCCAGCAAAGGGACCCTACCGGCTTCCGGCTCAGCCTGGGCGAAAGCGTGGGAAGCGAAGCCCGAGACCTCGGGAGCAGAGCACACCAGCTGCAGTGGCCAGGCCAGCATGTCTCCTTCCTTCCAACTTCAGTGCCACTTCATTCTGATCTTCCTGATGGCTCTAAGAGGGGACAGCCGGTACCCAGAGGTGAGCGAGCCCGGACTGACCCATCACACCTTCCGTGCGTGAGTGTCCAGCCTTGGGCGGTGGGCAGGTTGCCTCAGCGCTCAGTCGTTATTGGGGTTAGCTCTTTCTTCCCTATCTTTTGCGCCCCGTCTTCACTGGACTAGTCTTCCTCCCTGCCTCTTCCTCCTTCCCTCTGGCCCCTGGGGATACCCTAGTCGGATGGAAAGGGTCTAACACCTTCCCGTCTTCTCTGGACCCGGGAGACATTGGTCCCATCACTTTATTCTCTTTGCAGCGGGGCAGGGAGGGTGCCCCGCCCCTGGTCCCCTTTCCCACCCCTCGCACTTTTCCCGTCTGACCCATCTTCCTCGCCAGCTGCGGGAAGCGGCGGACCACGACCCTCTCCTGCTCCTGAGCGCCAGCCTGAAGCGGGAGCTGGCGGGGGAGCCGCTGTACCGCCGCGCCCTGCGTGAGTCGGGGCGCGGGGCTGCGGCCGCCGGCAGCGGGGCGGTGGGGAGGTTGGCGCTCCGCGCCGAGGGCGGGGGGCTCCGGGGCATAGCCGGGAGGCGCTGGCCAGGGCGGCCGGGGGCGCGATTCCCGTCGCTAGGGCTCGGTCCGAGGAGGCGCGCTGGGGCGAGACGGGGTGACGCGCCCCGGGGCGCGGGAGCCAGCGCAGCCGAGGCTGGGAGTCCGGGCGCGGGCGCTGCAGACCCGGGAGTGGGGCGCGCGGAGAGGGCTGCAGCCCGGGACCGCTGCCCCGCTCCCGTCCCCCAGGGTGCCTGGACATGCTGAGCCTCCAGGGCCAGTTCACCTTCACCGCTGACCGGCCGCAGCTGCACTGTGCCGCCTTCTTCATCAGCGAGCCCGAGGAGTTCATCACCATCCATTACGACCTGGTCTCCATCAACTGTCAGGGCGGGGACTTCCTGCAGGTGAGGCGCCCCCGCCGCGCGCAGCCCCAGCTGCGGGGCTCGGGAGGGGAGATCGGCCGGGTGCTGCGCCCAGCGAGGGGCTGCCAAGCATGGGGAGCCGGCGACACTCTCAATGAGACACTCTGCTGGTGCCTGAGTGGGACGAGCGCGCTCCGGGCCCCCCATGCGGCGCCATCCTCGCCCCACTCCCCAAAGGGCCGGTGCCTTGGACGTTGCAGTGGTTTCAGTTCCCCTCTGTGCGCTTTCGGGGCCCGGGCGCTTTCAAAGACCTAACACGCACGGAAAAACGCTGTGTTGCAATCTGGGGCGGATGAAAAATGATACAAACTAACTACCACGAGCGCTCGGAGCCACAGTGCGGGCCAGTCCTGGTTGGAAGGCTGGCCCCACGCGTCTGAGATCTGAGCCCGCCCCGCTCCTGCTGGTCCCTCTCTCCGTGGAGCTGTTCCAGGCTTGCAGAGGCTGTCTTCAATGCCTGGGTGACCCGATTTCGGAGTAGTAGGGCACTGGCTGCTGGGAAGGGTGCTCAGAGGGAATCCAGTTTGAGGCGGGTGGGAGGGAAGGGAGGACAAGCTCGAACTTCACAACATCCCCTCTCCCAGTCGTTTCCGTAAGTCTAACAGGACAGCTAGTGATGGCTGACGGAGTTCTACGGTCCAATTAAAATGATCGTGATTAAAACCTCCAAAGTGGAATTATTAAGGAACCTGTCAAACAGGTTAAGAGGAGAACTGGTCTGGTGCAGTAATCTGCAGCTGGGTGGTTGGGAATTTTGCTAATGTGAACTGGGTTGGGCTCATTAAATTGGAGACTTGTGGTGATTTTGAGAGTAGAGTCAGTGGACTCTGACCTATTGTCTAACTGCAAACTTTAATAAGCAAAGAAAAAAGTCTTAGGTGGGCATACCAGCCATCACTGTCTGAGTGTTGAAGCAGTTCTTGATATTTTGATATGTCATAAGAGTAAAAAAAAATGAGGAAAACGAGCATACATAACCATTGGCAGGTAGGTAAATTTGCTGCTCAAGTTTTCTCTTTTACTGTCTATTTTTGAGATATTTTGTTCATATTTCAATGCATGTTGGAAAGAGAGGCACTGAAACTCAAATTACACTTTTGTGGAATTCTTCTGAAGGTGGGATATGTGGAAAATATGACTCAAGATAAAAATGTGTATTGTCCATAGTTTCATTTACCAAGGTGGCTGAAATTACAAAGTACAAGAAAGGCTATTTACTTTGGAAATTTTAAGTTTTATATAGGGAAAAAAAGAAATAATTAATTAATAATATTCCTTGCAAACAGCCGTCACTGTAACATATACACAAATGGGGAGAAAGCTGGCAGGGGCATGTAGGCTGTCACTTCCTCACTATGGCTGAAGGCCCATTGCTGGGAAACTCCTTCCCCCTTTTCCACATGCCTATGACTTCAGGAGTTGATGGAAGTGCTCGTCTCTGTATTTTATGTTGGAAGGTATTTGATGGTTGGATTCTCAAGGGGGAGAAGTTCCCCAGTTCCCAGGACCATCCTCTCCCCACGACTGAACGGTACAGGGATTTCTGTGAGAGCGGTGGCATTGGAAGGAGTATCCGATCCTCCCAGAATGTGGCCATGATCTTCTTCCGGGTCCACGAACCAGGAAGTGGATTCACATTAACCGTAAAGACGGATCCCAACCTCTTTCGTAAGTGGAGTCCCTATCTCCTCAGTCGGAAGGCAGGACTTGGGGGGGGAGGGGTCGAATCTGCTTTTCAAAGGTAGTGTCATTGTGCAGACTTAAGAAATTTGAAGTGAAGAATGATCTGAATGGACATTCTTTTGTAATTAGAAATGACCTAAAGGATATCTCCTATTCATTATTAGGAAAATCAAATCACAGTTTTTATTTCCCAGGCTAAGTAGGATACTAATTTATGGTGGGTAGAATTCTATTTTTTCTCCAAAGTCTTATTCTGATCTCCTAAGGTACTACAATGCATTCAGTGACAAACTTTAATCCCTCCTAGTCAGTCCATTGATCTAGGATAAGCTGAGGGTCAGATATTAAGTTGCACTCCTAGAGATATTCAGGCAATGCTGAAAGACTGCGTATCAGGGATATGGGTGGTGGATTTCCTGCCCTGAGTGGAGGATTGGACCAGAAGACCTTAACGTTACCTTCTGATTCTGAGTCCACCACTCTAATTTAGTTCATTTCCGATGGAAACACACATAGATGCTATAAAGTGAAAAGCTCAGGCCTAAAACATATTATTTTAATCAAAATGAGTTCATTCATTTGCTTATTTTTTCCCTCTTAGGAGAAAAATCTTTTTAAAAATCAGGAAAAGAAAACACATCATTCATTTTTGGTTGCATACAATAGTATTAATATTAACAATTCATGTGGTTGAAGAATGGGGCCTAGAGCTGGCCTGGTGATGTAGTAGTTAAGTTTGCGTGCTCCACTTTGGTGGCCCAGGGTTCTCAGGTTCGGATCCTGGGCACGGACCTGCACACTGCTTGTGAAGCTGTGCTGTGGCAGCGTCCCACATACAAAATGGAGGAAGATTGGCACAGATGTTAGCTCAGGGACAATCCTCCTCACCAAAAATAAATAAATAAACAAATAAATAAACAAACAATAAAATAAAAAAAAGAATGGGGCTGAATCTGCCAAGGAATAATATACTGACTGATCTTCCAATTTTTATTTACAAAAACCAAAAGATTTTTTGAAAGAAGCGCCTCTCCACCAAAAGGCTGTGTCTGAGGACTGGAGCAGAATAATCCTAGAGGACATAGGGAAATGTGTCTCCTGTGTTTTATTTTTTTAGAAATTGAAAACCTAGAATCATCAAGTAATTTCAGTTCTTTTTGAAATTAAGTGTAATTAAAAATATAGATAGTAGGCAAGAGGTAGTTCTGATCTCTTCTGATCAATCAGAAACTTTTGTCCCGTGATTGGCAAAAAAAAGCACAAATTCTGATGCTTCTAATTTCATAGCTAGAAGAATAAATTCATTGTAAATCTAAACTTGAAATAAAAATCAAAAAATTTCAGAAATTCTTGGGAGTAAATTAAACGTTAAAATTTATCTTTTAGTCAATTTACCACTTAACACCCAGCAAATATTTATCAGACGTAAGCCTGCTTTCTATTTTTCTCAGCCTATTTTGTGACTGTTTTATTATTTACTTATTTTGTTACTTAAAAAATAACATTATGGCTCCAAATTCAATGAGTTCACACAGACAGGGTTTGAGTTCTGGCCTCAGCATTAAGCCCTGATTCATCCAGACTTCCAGCTTGAAATTGGACCCTGGTTAACTGAAGTGTTCCTAGAGCTTCTACCAGTTCGTATTGCTTGTTTGGTTATTAATTAATGTCTTATGATTGTTAGAAACAAGCTGACCCCCTGAGATTAAGATTAGAAGCCCCCTTGCAGCCCAGATCCTCTTGACAATATCAGATGTTGCCGGTGATTTTCATTCCCCAACTCCCTCCTGGCTCCAAATTGCCTCTGTAATGTGTACTGTCCTCCAGGCCACAAGGCCCTAGACCATGAGTAGGAGGCTAAAATAAGGATAGAATAAATTTCTATAGAAACCCAGCTTGCCAAGTAGTGAAAATGTGATTTTGTTTTTCTACAAAGCCTGCAATGTCATTTCCCAGACCCCAAATGGGAGGTTTAGCCTGGTAGTTCCGCATCAGCACCGAAACTGCAGCTTCTCCATAATTTATCCTGTGGCGATCAAAATATCTGACCTCACTCTGGGACACTTAAAAGGTCTGCAGTTGAAGGTGAGTTGCTTACTTGCTTCCCAATCATTCCCTAAGGCCACAGCTTTATCGGCGCGGAAGTAATCACACAGGGCAAACTGGAGTGGTGGGACCTTCAGTGGACTCTGCAATCTCACATGAGCCTGTCCTCGGGGCTTTAACTAAACCCACTTCCACTTCCACTGTGCTGCACGTTGCACACTCAGGTGCCCTTGCTGACGACTTGAATACTTTTCCTGTGACGTAAGAAATGTTTTCAACTCGTAAAGTTGTGGCATATAATTACAATTGAACTCTCTTGTACTTGCCTCTTTCACAAAAATTCCCTCCTAGCAGAACCTAGTGTGAGTCATCTACACAGCTGGTTTTCTGATTATTGGAATTTTCTTTTGACACGAAGGAAGTGTCTCATTGACAGAACTGTGTTATGAAGGAATGCTAAGTGTAGCATAAAATACAAAATTGGATTTTTATATTGCAAAATACAGTAAAGTTTGGAAGTTTTTTGCATTACATTTAATTCGGTACATTTTGCAGCAAAGTGTTAGCTGAGAATGCCCATCCACTTGTTCTCCCAGGAACTTCTGTGTGGGCTTGACAGTTAATGCTGTGAGCTTCACCACATTCATTTGCACGGGTAGCTTCTACCCCCTGAGGCCTCGTTTGCTTTTGCCTTCTCATCTGCCTACGTTAAGATAGCTCATGTATTTGCTGGCATCAAAGATGGTCCGAGTTCCTAATCAGACAGATTTCAGTGAAAAACAAATAACTAGGACCAGGACTGAGAATTTCCTGTAAGCCCTAAATTCATGGGCCAGTGCCTACTTTTTTTACTTGGACCTTTGTGGAAGAATAATCTTTTGATAAAGACCAGGATAAGTGGATGTCTTTGGCATAGGCTTATTGACTTGCGATTGTTTGTATGTCATTCTCGGTGCATAAAATAGAAGATGACAGTGTGCTAGCAAACTGGGAAATCTGCACTTTAGTTATTCTTGGCTATGAGGAGTAATCCTGGTGTTTCCTCCTTAAAAAATTTAAAGTCTCTAGTGTCCTAGGCATCTATTCTTTTATAAAATGTTTTTTGAGCACTTACCATGTGCCAGGCACTATTCTAGATGCTGGAAATTAGCGACGAACCAAACAGGTCCTGCTCACATGGACCCTGCATTCTAGTGGCCTGAGACTGGCAAAAGTGTAGTGTATTTCAGATAGTGGTGAGTGTCCTACAGCAAATGAAGCGGAGTGCTGTGACAATGGCTCGGGACAAGGGAGCAGAGGGAAGGCCCGGGAGCTGCCTGAGATGAGGTGGTTGGGAGAGAAACCTGGGAAGGAGACATTTAAAGTCAGACTTGAGTGGTAGGTAAGAAGGAACCAGCAGCCACGGGAGGAGCCGGGAACAGAGGGAAGAGTATTGTAGAGGTTCAGAGGCAGGAATGGGCTTGCTGGGTTCCAGAGATGGAGAGAAGGCAAAGTAGAGGGGGAGTGGTGTGAGACAGCATCAGGGAGATGGGCAGGGCCAGGTGTGGAGGGCCCAGTGGGCCATATGAAGGAGTTTGAGTTTATTCTAAGTGAGGTGGGGAACCACTGAAGAGCTTCAGGAGGAAAGCGACGTGATCTGACTTACACTGGCTTCCACGTGGTGAATGGGCTGTGGGGGCCACCGTGGTGCAAGGAGAGCATCTAGGGAGAGCACCTGTCACAGTCTAGGCAAGAGATGCTAGTGGCTTAGTCCAAGGAGGCTGAGCCTCAACAAAGAAACCCGGGGGATCACTGTTGAGGAGCTGAACCCCAGAGAGATCCCTACACAACTCAGCTTCTGCCCTTGTTGCTTCTGCCATCCTTTATAAGAATAGCTGAGAGGTTTGGGAAGAGGAGAGAAAGTCACTGAACACCAGGAACAGGTGCACCCACCTTCCTCGTTTCTATGTTTTGTTCCCCACATTTCAGCTTCTGCTTCTTCCCATCTTCTTCAACCCCATTTCTCTCTCCTGAGCCTGCCTTTTTCCCTTCACCACCTCCTGCTGAAATTTGGAACCTATAGAACCAAGTGGAAAGTTTCATCTTAAGAGATGTTCCGCCTATCCTCTACTCAGGGGAAAGGCAGTTATGTTTTTTTCCTTCGCCCCTAAATAGCTTATTCAACTCTTCATTGAGAACATGAGCTCTGCACACAGTGGGGCTAATTAACTCTCTATTTCATCATGTGATGAAATGATGTGTAAAACACTAAGCATAGAACCCAGCACGCAGTATGTGCTTTAAAAATATATCTGCCCACCTGCTTCCTTTCATTAGCCACACAGTTGCTGTTATAATATTTTCTAATTTGTGGTTTAGTTCTAGTTGCAGTTCAATGTCTTCTAAGTGTTTGAGTGTGTGTGCTTCTGTGTGTGCATGTTTAGAGTTCTCTGTTTTAGATTTTGGTCCCTATGTGGCAGGGTCTGTCTGGTTAACTTCTGAGCACCGTGCCACATCCCCCGAGGTCTCTTGAAGAGTATGCCTCAATGAAGGCGAGGGTACCAGGGAAACCCACTATAGAATGTGTAGGGGACAGTGCAAAATGAAAAGGCAGGGGCCCTTATTTAAAAATTATCAAGAATTTCAAGATGGTGACCACAGAGCATTAAACCAAGCACTCGGCCCTCATAAGTGTGGGGTTTGTGGGCATAGGGGCCAGCCCTGACTAGAGGTGATGGCTGGCCTAAAGTGGAACATTTGGGACCGAGAGTGTCCGCTTTATGTGGGAAAGTGAAGCACAGGAATTGCTGTGGAGGAGACGGTGTGGGAAGGATGAAGGGAAGCAGAAACGGGTGGTTGCGGTGGATCACACAACGTCTTAGAAGAGACTCTGGTTTTAAGTAGCTTGGAATAAATTTGTTTTAGTTGGAAGGAGAAAGACGATGGTAACTCTAGCTAACTTGAGCCCCAAATGAGGATTCTCTTTTTTCTTCCATATTCTTATAATTAATCTAAATCTTTATCAGTAGAAATGATAAAGATTTGTCTAGCAGAAAAAGTCCTACATAAGGAAGAGGGAAAGAGATGAGTTGAAGGAAAAACTGATGTGAAAGCCCTATTTATAAAAACGCTGACTGCATGCGTTAAGAAATTCAAATAATTCAGTATGTATGTCCAAATAATTGAAAAAGCATAGCATTTTCAGATTCAATTTTCATACGTCTTATATGGAGTTTACAGATTGCCATTTCATCATACCAGTCCTAGAGCTTATAAAAAACTTTTTTAAAAAACACGCACATACATTTAAAAAAATGATTACCCAACTGGTTTAGAAAAGCAATTCTTGGGATTTTTTCTCTTCTAGATGTCTTCTAATTTCCGGAGTCCTGGATGTTAAATTAAATGGCCCTGCCAGGCTGTCTAGGGCTGATTCAGTGAATTCACCAACCTGCCATTGGTGAAATGGCTTGACTTCCATAACTGCTTTAAATATATATCTCTCTGCTGCTTTCTTCTCTCAGAAACCCTCAGCAGGCTGTGGGGGAAAAGGAGACTTTGTGGAGCTGCTGGGAGGAACTGGACTGGACCCTTCGAAGATGATGCCTTTAGCTGATCTCTGCTATCCTTTTCATGGCCCTGGTGAGAGTTTTCTTTGATCATTACTTATGTGCATATCAAGATTATTTCCTTAAATAAAACAACCCAAACTTTTTATACATGGGAAGGCAAGTTCCACCAAAAAAACCTTCAACTTTGCACATGGAGCCCGTGTGAGGATTACATGTGAGTCTATGTGCAGTATCCAGAATGCGTTACGGCAGTACCCGACACTGGGAGAGAAACCTGGGCAATAACAAGGACGTGCGTTTAAGGTTGGCCCTAAGTAAAACCATGGAAAAGACAAGCTTTTTTATTCTGTGCTTTCTGCACCTTCTTGAAGGTCTCTGCTTTCATTCTCTAGAGACTGAAGAGTTTGTTTACTACCTGAAAACTATGGTTCAAGTAGTAGATGTATCATCAATTAGTAATAGTAAAATAATGAAGTAATAGCTAAATAACTTTTCCATATATAAGTATATATGTGTGTATTACTCATAGGATAGAAATTAAAAAGTGATACACTTTACTAGAACTTCTCAGAACTACTGAATGTCTCCACCTTCCGGCAGCAAAACCGGCCTCTGAAAGGCCACTACAAAAATAGAAGTAAATCCTGAAATCTACAAGCGGTCACCTGTAAGAAAAGACCAGTTTAGTGCACAGCATGCCAAACAGAACCGGATCGTCTCTGCTAGGGATCAGTGAGGATTTTCCCTTTGCTTATGCTCAGGTGGGGTGAGGGAGGGTGGGAATTGCTCATCTCATGACCAGATTAATTAATGAAGTCCAAGGCGAGAGGGAGAGGATTACACAAAACATTTCTATTAAGGTCAGTCTCGTACCTGTACTTTAGATGCAGGAATCAGAGATTATCTTTAGAGACAAAGGTAAAACAGAAGAGGAAGAACAACAGTCTCGAATCTCATGGCGAATTCTTATCATAGCCCCCTTCCTCTCTTGTCACCACAGATCACTAACCAACCAGGTAATGAAGCTGCAAATCAGACATCCTTTTGATCAGCGGTTTCCTGTTTTAATTAAAACCAGGTCTGCCCACTAGTATTCTCTCTCCCGGAGCAAATGCTGAGCCCTTAATAAACAAAATATCTCTGAAATAGAATTAATATGTACAGGTAAACACCAAGGCCTGCTATATAGTCCATTGACCCCAGATACACCTGTATATGAAGTTTCAGATGAAATGTAAGGCAGGACTTGACCTAAGGCAAGCTTTCTAATCAAGGCAAAGGCAACAGATTTCTAAAAACTCACTTTGGTAAAAACTCAGGGCTTCTTTTATGCTAATTGACACTTGAGCTCTGGTTTAAACTGTCAGTGCATGTGGCTTCTCTGGCCTTTTGCATGTGTTCTCTAAGGCACTGGATCCCTCCATGCTAATGGAGGACACCTGTGGGGAGAAGCATTTGAGCTGGGTAAGATTAGATTAGGACTAAAGAACGCCCATGCCTTAAAGTTTAGAGAGTTGAAGCCAGAGTAATTTTGGTGCTCGAATTATATGACTTGAATTAGGTAAAAGGGTGATACTTGGGCCAAAGAACCACTTTTGCCTAAATTATCTAGATAATTGAAACCAGTCTTAAGAGAATTTGAAGGCTTGAATTATATGACTCATTGGTTCCTTTTAGACTTCCTTTTTTTCTTTCATTCACCATGTTTCCATGAGCCTCCTAAGCTGCTCAGACAATGAAGAACTGTTAGGGACTCTGCCCTTTAAATTGGATTTTATTAGGAATTATGTCAAAATAATTAATAAATAATATGCACATTAACTAAAGGAAAGAGGGCATGTTACGTAGATTAAAGTTCAGAGTAAGATCAAAAAAAAGAAGACCCTCCAAATCATTTAAAGAAAGCTAAGTTTGGACCTCCTCGTGGAAGCTTATCCTAGACTCCCTGGTGCTGATATTAAAATCATTATGGGATTTATATTTATTATGTCTCCAAATTGACTTTTACCTCAATAACTATCTGGCTGTTTTACTTCATTTAAACCCAGGTGCATGTTTGTGAAGTACCTGTTATATAATGTTAATGCTAGTGTTTCTCAGAATTTAGGCCTTATAGAGACAAAGTGGGGGGAAAAATTGAGAAAATTAGAACGGCAGAAAAGATTATTGCGGGGCAGATAAATCTTGCCTCAGGAACCAGCTTGAGGCTGGAAAAATAAAATAAAAGTAATTTTTAATAAAAATAATATGAGTTTCAATATATAACTGCTCACGCACATCTGCACTAGATGCTTATACAGATAATGAATAAGATTGGATTTAAGAGAACTAAGGCCATCAAAAGGCATTCCATATAAGAAGCACAGAAAGAATGAGAGAGAAAAGGTACAGGTGTACAATAGAACAAAAAGGAATATATTCAGTGTGTATCTGTACCATACAAATGATTTTTTGTTTATATGTAAAGCAGAATTCTTATCTAGGCTCAGAAAACAATAAACAGGTGATCTTTTGGTCTACATAAATATCCAGCAGTACATTCCATCGTCTAGCCCTGCCCACTAGATACCACTTGCACGCTCAGATGTTATGACAACCAAGAACTGCCCCTGCAGATTTCCCACCTGTCCCTGGAGGGCGGTACTGCCCGCCTGAGAACACTAAACTAGAACAAGGGTGTAGTGTGGACAGACCGCTTGCCTTCACCTGCCTTTACTGCCGAAGCCTTATAGGTAGGAGAATAAGAAAAGGGCAAGGAGGCATCTTCTTGCCTCTTTCCAGCCAGTTTTATTTGGCTAACAGTGTTCTTGCACGTGAGGAGAAAGGCTGAGTTCAGTTTCCTATTCTACAATTAGTTATATACTATAACAAAAATGAAAACAAAAATGTTTCTCCTGAGGGCAGATGCATGGTTGGAGGATGTGAGGGGAAGAGACATCCCCTCGCTTTCTTTGTGTTTAAATGATCTCGTCGACAGAAGGTTTGACTGTGGTTTCTAACCTGCTGGGAAACTTCTGCTTTTTCCCTGAATTGCAGCCCAAATGAAAATTGGCTGTGACAACACTGTGGTGCGCATGGTCTCCAGCGGAAAACACATCAATCGCGTGACTTTTGAGTACCGCCAGCTGGAACCAAATGAACTGGAAAACCCAAATGGAAACAGTATCCGGGAATTCTGTTTGTCTATCTAGTCTTTGAACAACCAACCCAATGATTTCCATGCTGCTAGCTAAGTGACTTTTTAATGGCTATTGTATATGCATAGGGTTTTGATGAGCAGTTAGTTAAAAGCCCTTCATACCAGTCACTATTCCCAGCCTTGAACATACGTCTCTCTCTCACACACACACACACACATTAATTTTTGTACCTTGCTTCTTTTTCATTTATAATATATAAATGACCACATAGCAGAAAATAGTAGTAGAAAAACAGTTTTCTGTAATCTTTGGTAGGCTACAATTCTGAACTGGTAAGACAAGTGCAAAGCTATGTGCAATAAAAAAATTCTCTCAAGGGAAAATACTACAAAGAAATGAAAATGGTGGTGTTCATATCAGTTTTATAACAGAAAACAATCGAATGTCTGTGTATACTGAAGTAGTTGTATCTGTTTATTTTTTGCTTACTATTCTGTTTACAATAGACAATAGTTGTAGCTATTATATATTGATTTGTAACAACTTGTTTTTAACAAAACTTTGTAGCATGGAAAAAATTTTCCATCCACAAATACAAACATGAATAAATATATTCAGAATGTCGGCACCTTGACACTGTACTTTGTTTTCCTGAGCAGTCCCCTCCTTATTACCATCAGAAATAACGTTCTCACGTGGTAGGTACAGAACCAAATGCTGAACTAAATCATTTTCAACTCCTTAGGACTAGTAGAACTCTGGGTCATTGAGGCAGAATTATTTAGAGCTGTAGAGTTGGAGCGTTTGTATAAACGTCACTCACAGATTGGTCCTGACAGGGAAGCAGGATGCAGGGATCCCTTTTCCACTGTCCTCCAAGAAAACAGAACACACGTCTTTGTCACAGCAGGTGTACTTTTCAACAGGGACAGCAAGGACTGTACAACTCTCATAGACACAATTTGCAGAAATCTGAGTACTTCTTTGGTACTGAAGGCAGTTTACTGTTGATTGAGCCCTGTGCATGTTTGGCTTGAGACTAAGCATGTGGTCTGTAGGAGACACTTTGGGGCAAAAAATGAGGTCCTGGGCAATAAACGAAATACTCCTAAGTGAACCCTTTACTTTGGATTAATGGACGGAAGCTGCGAACTGTGCCTTAGTTAATGGCCTGATTATGATTCCCCAAACATATTTAATATAAAGTTCATTTTATCATGGAATGTACTAGAATCCTATGCACTGAGCTTTTTTTTAATAAGATCTGAAAACCAGGCAGAAGGAAAACTACTAACTGAAAGTGTTAAAAATACCAGGGATTTAGCAGAAATTTTGGCTCAGTAGATATTTTGGAATGAGTGAATACTCTAGCAAATGAATGAATAAATGCCTGAATGGATGGATGGATGGATGGATGAATAAATGCTGGGGTAAATGCTGGGATGAATGAATAAATGCCTGAATGGATGGATATATGATTAGTTATGCAAGATGTTGGATTCCTTATTTCACAGAAAATAAATTCTATGAAGTTAAACTCTTATCTTTTTCACAATCCCTCCAGCAACCTAATTAACATAGTCACTTATATCACTGTCAGAAGTTTCTGGGTTTTAATTCTCGTGATCCCCTTATGCTGAGTGGAGAAAATGATCTGAGGTAAGGAGGCAGGTGTTTTACCACGGAAGTTAGGACAACCTGCTTTTATTTCTAATGGGTATTTTGCAAGCTACTTCATCTCTGCCCTAAAATGGGTAGGACTGTGGTTCCTAAGGTTTATTCTAACCCTGACATTCTGTGGTCATTCATCTGTGACATAATTTACTTCGAAGCTCATAGTGTACAATAGCGTACCTTCTTTGAGAGGATGGCCACTCCTGTGAACTGTCCATGACTTGTTCTTTGGAGATCCATGACTTAGTCTTCATTCCATAATGATGGGGCAGCTTTCTGGAAACAAGATGGTAGATGAGACCTCTGGGGGAGAGTTACAGAGTGTGTCTTCACCAGCACCTCCATTAAGCGAGTAAAATGGTATATGAAATTTTGGCCAGATTTGACTTTCCGAGAAAGGCACTATGCATAGTGGTTAAGGTCATTGACTCTGGAGCCAGACTCTTTGAAGGCCAGCTCTGCCACTTACTTAAGCAAGTCACTTATAAGCCTCCAGTGCTCGGTTTTTAATCTGCAAAATTGGGATGATAAAGTTACCTCCTTCAAATAAAGGTTTTTGTCGAGATTAAATAGTTAAATATATTTAAAGCCCAAGAACTGTGTCTTGTATGTGTCAGCTGTTATTTTTAATTATTATTTCTTACTTCTAAGCAAATATGCCACTAGGTCCTCCACGATCTGAGTGGGGCATTTACTTTGTGCTCTGAAGGGTTTGTACTGATTCGATGGTCCTGCTTCATCCTAGGACATTTGTGAGGGAGCTGGGATTAGTTAGGGGGGTTGTCTGTGACGGAGAAGCAGAGTAAGGTTACTGGGAGCATTTGAGGGTGGATCCTGTCAGGCCTCATCAGGTTCCCTGTGCCTCCCCTCATCACTGAGCCCTATCTGTAGTCTCTATGCCACTCCAGGATCCATCCTGACCTGGGGCAGGAGGAACTTGAACAGGTCTTGTTCAACACGCTCGTCAGAAAGGAGTCACCTCACAAATAGTATGTCTTGACTCTCCACCCTGTGCCAGCCTCATCTCTATAATCCTCCCGGCTCTGGGTTATTTCACACTAGCTCTTGCCTGATCCTATTCTTATCCTCACTCCTAACCCTAAGGCTTCCAAATACTAACAGGTGACTCGGGATCTTCCACTCCTCACTGAATTCCCAAAGTCTTCCTGCCTCCGTGCCTGAAATTCTGAGCAGTTTTGCTCATAGGTTTTATGTCATTGTGCCCTCCACATCCTCTGAACACTTTTATACCTCCTGTAAGCCTTTCTCTTCTGCCCCCGTCTTTAGCCTATGGTCGGTGGGATACGGACATTGGTGTGCCTATGACATGGACTTATCTCCCAGTATCTGAAGCAGCGTGTCTTCCTTACCTCCAACCTCTTCCTAGCACTGTTGCTTCATTTAAGAGGACAGGGCAGAAATGCTATGTGTTCACCAAAAGTCATTTTTTCTACCTCTTGAGTAGGCAGTAGGCTACATTTTCTAACATCCCTTACAGTTAGATTTGGTTATGTGACTGAAGGTTGCCTGAAGGAGTGTGGGTAGAAAATGATGTCCAACCCTCATGTGATCTTCCATACCTTCTTTCTCTTCTCCTATCTACTGGCGAGATACTGAGGTTCTAACAGGACTCCAAGGCCATACAAGAAGACAGAGCCATAGGGTGCAAGGAGCCTGGATCCCTGAATGACCACATAGAAGGCTGCCTGTTGACCAGGAATTGGACTTTGTGTGAATGAGAAGTACACTTCTATTTTCTTAAGCTACTGAGATGATGATGATGATGATTTTGGTATAGCATCAAGTGTTACCGTAGTTCATGCAATGGACCTGTCTAAAGCCAGTTCTCAGCTAGTCTCTAGTTTTCCTGTCTGGTTTTGCTGCAACTATCCAGTCAGGCCTGATCGGATGGTCTTCCAGAGAAAAATATCTCAACTGTACATCTTTGATCTCATGAACACTAGGCTTTAACTGATACCATTGTATCCAACTTTTCCAATTCCTTAAAGAATCTTTTAATAATAGGGGTTCTTAGATTAGACTCCTTTGAAAATCTGACAGAAACTACAGATCATCTCACCCCTCAAAAAAGCCCATACACGCAAGAACACCCCAAATTTCTGAGAATTCACAGATCCCTGAAGCCCACGCAAGGTTTCAGGATGAGATTCTCACTCTAGAAGCAAAAAATGGAGAAAGTAAGTTTTATACCCGTCTTCTCAAAGTAGGCTGCCCTCTCTTCAGTATTAAAAATATTCGTTGGTTAATTTGGCTGCAAAATAAGTTGATAATAGCAACTTAATCTTTCTGCTTTTATATTTAACTATTTAATTTTGCCTTTTACTACGTGAGTTTTTCCGGTCTGCTCTGTAGTTTTTCCTCAGGGAGAAAATATATTTGACTCAGGACAAATTTTTGTGACAAAGCTTCTTCCAGATCTCTCCCAACTTCAAACTTTCCTTTCTTGCTATTTTAATAGGGAGTTAACATTGCCAGAGTTTGCCTGCAAAGTAGAATCTTCGTGAAAGAAAAATAAGGATTTGATGGGCAGGATTTACTTGCAGGCATTTTCTTTATGTGCTTAACACCTGGCAGAGAGTTGTGGCTAGGGCTCTATTACAGGGTAATCATGTGGAATTCTATCTGAATACAGTCTTATCTGTCACTGGAGAATTTCAGAAGAGAGATCTGTCAGTGGAGAATTTCAGAAGAGAGAAACACCTTTGTATGTTCAAATAAGCAGATGGAATGGCCTCAGTTCTAATGGCTCATTTGTAATGATTACCATCTATTTTTCTCTTTGCATTTAAGAGTTTTCTCTTCATGTGTTAAGACAAACTGTACAAAGAAGCAGCAGAGGGCTGCTGAGAGAGGAAATGTGGGGGAGAGAAAGAAGGCTTGATTAGAGGATCTGAAAACACTGTGAAAATCAGGGTCTCCAGATTGGACGCTGGGCTTCTCTCTTGGTAACAACAGTGTGCTCAATCCCTCTGCAGCTGAAAAATGGAAAACGAGGAGTGTTTGTGCTCTAAGAAGACAATGTCAATACTAGGATAGAGCTGGATGAGTTAGAACCAGCATCTTTGTAACCAGATGGGTTATCAGATAGTGGTGTTTCCAAGTAAGAAGATGGACTCCCCCCTGCTGACTTCCCTCCCCTCTCCAGGTTTCTGAAGTATAAAAAATGTGCTGTTAGTGGTTCAGAAGTAATCAAGTCAGCCAGAGGCACAAGTAAAGTAGATGACTACCTATGTGGTGTGATTTGAGGGACAGCAAAAATCCACTTGACTGAAAATATTGCCAAAATTCGCACCCTTAAAATCCTTTTCCTTTTGTTCTTTAAGATGTATTTTTAATTAAGCAAGTAATTTATGAGTCCTTTGTTTTAAAAGAGTCAAACCATACAAAGGTAACTAGTTAATGAAGTTACTTACAAATCAGTAATTACTTTGACCATATAAGGTATTGCTAATCATCATAATGTGATGCAGAAGTGGCAGGTAAGCTTTGAATAAAGAAGAGTGTGGTGGGTGAAATTAAGATTATGAGACGCTGAGGAGACAGACTCAGAGGAACGCCCCATTAAGGCTATTGGGCGAGCCAGCAAGGAACTGATGAAACCACTGGCTGGCTGAAAGTGTGCAGGGGTGAGCAAAAAGAGTGTGCTATGGAGTTGGGGGTGTCGTCAAAGACGAGCATTGTGCACTCCCTTAGTTTTGCCTAGGACCAGCTCAGAATGCAATCCTCCCTGTGTAGGGTGGATGGGACCGGAGATAAGCTTTAGAACAAGATCTAGTCCTGTGAGTACAGGCATCAGCGGAAGGGGAGGAAGCCAGACTTCAGAACCAGACATGAGGCTAAGTTCTGATTCAACCACTAACCACCTGTGTGCCCTTGAGCAAGTCACTTCACCTTTCTGAGCATCAGCCTCCTCATAGGTAAGGTATAAACAGCAGCACC